AATCGCGCGGCTCGCCTTCCGATCGGACGCGCCGACAGGCGCCGCCCCCGGAGACCGCCTCATAACCGCCTCTCTCACTCCCGCGGACTCCCGCGAGACCGCGCGTCTCGCTTTGTCTCGCCGTCCGAGAAGGAGAGAATTCTCTCTCTCGTGGCATCGGCCCCGGCGAGGCCCACCGATCGGCCTCCCGAAACGGCGATCCGCTGATGATGATGAGAGGAGGCCGCGCTTTGCTGATGGCGGAGGTGGTGGTGGTGGTTGTTCTGTCGTTATACTAGTATCGCTGAGCGGAGGTGGAGAGTACCGCGACGACGACGACGACGACGACGACGACGATGACGACGACGTCGACGACGACGTGGACGACGATCACGGGGACGGTGCTCTCTCTTTCCGCAGATATCGCGTACGAATCAATGCATTCTAGGAAAGAATCGCGCGATCTGTTCCCTACGAAAGTAGGTTGTACCTATGTGAGCGGTGAGATTTAAACGAGTGGGTAACGGGAAGATATTTTTTGAGAGCGCGATCCAAGTGATGTACGATATCTCTAGGTGGTTCCAGAACGTCTTCAGAAGATAAATGGTATGCAATCGTCGATGCGAAGTCTTTAGTAATTTCTCTGATGAAGCATTTAAAATTTAAAATCAATGGGGATTTAATATTTGTATCTTTCAAGTTCTTTCAAGTAAAAAGCAAGAATCGAAATAGATGAGCTCGAATAGACTCGACTCGATTCCTTCACGGATACGTATAGAGATGTAAAAAGCGTGTAGCGTTTAGTTCGCGGACTCTATGAAAAAAGTTGGATAAATTTATTCTTTTACAGCTGGTGTAAGTGAGTTCAACGGACGCTGGCGGTAGCGGCGTCAAGAGACTTCTACAGACATGAATGGCGTTTTTGAACTTCTCGTCTCTCGCACATTAAGTGCAAGGATCTTATTGCACCTGCGCACAATAACGATTGTCCTGATAGCGGCGAGACGGACGAGTAGAAACGTGCGCTCTAACCGTATCTTCTAAATGAGTCTGGCTACACCACATTACACAGGTCGATTACTCGCGGCATTCTTCTCGGAGACAGCTGTAATAAATTAGTGCCGTAAGTTTGACGAATGAATGATATTTTACGCCGAGTCTAGAATACATTTCTCAAAAGCTATCACGTGTGAAATCTTTCGTTTTTAGCACATATTGTCCATAACAATTTTAGAATCGCTAATTCATCGAGGTAAAAACTAATGACGCGAAAACTCGTAAGACGAAACGGTAAGTATTTGAGCGATCTTTTTTGGTAGCGTAATAATGAATATTTATCAAGGCACAAAGAAGGTCTATGGTCTTTGAATTATTTCTAAAATAAGAAAGGAGCGCGAACGTCTTTTCGACGTACGAAGTTTGGGAAGTAGACTCAGAATAGACATCCATAGTTGCAGAAGTAGATGGCTGTAATAGAAACTGTATTGAAATATTTACATCGCTACAGCAATATCCCAAAGTAGAAGTATATGATCGCGATTTTAAACGGCTATCTTCGCTGACTATTTAAATATGCTGCTGCTGTAGTAATATCACTCTCTGGAGCAATCGCGACGGGTGGACTCTCCTCCACTATTTATTCTGATATCGGCCTATTCACCGGGAGAGTAGCCCAGTAGATTATTCATCGTATTAACAACAATCTCTCGAGCCGCACCCCAAAGGATTGTTCTCCCTTTCTTTTCCTGGCGGCGGCACGTGGCAACGTAATTGGGGATGCAAAGAGCGGACGATTATTAAACGTCGACGCGGTTTTACCGTCTGCCGTGTCCTGGAGGCCAACAAGACGGTATTGACGATCGAATTTGGGCAGTCGTGCCTCGATAACGGAGTTATGAGCACGACGTCGACGGTGTGCCGGCCGGGAAAGATGGCGGTTTTAATTGAATTAAGGCTACAAAGAGAGACCGGTCCTCCGCGTTCGACCCTTACGAGAGACCCGTCGGCCGGACTCCCTTAACTGGCTATTAACTCGAATTTTGGTAATAGCGAGCGTTACGTTTTAGGGTGGTCGACTGTCTAAAAATCTCCTGTTAACGACTGCGTTGGGTGATTCTGTGGAATTTTATGCTAAATCGAGAGAATATTTCCTAAGATTTGTAAAGATGCGAATAACTCAGCGTAGTATTTATTCAGGCAGAAATCGGCAAACATTATTTAATTGTTGATGTCTTAAGAATTAGCGAAAGATAACATTCACTCCGAAAAGATCATTTCAAGTTTCAAAAAAGAACTTTTTGGTTATTAAATATTCAGCATAATATCTTATCAGAAATCGGCTAGCGACGCAGGCGTTATTTATTAACTGATGTTTTAAGAATTAGCGAAAGTTTATAGCTGCGTTTGATGGAGAAAGCAGGTTTTGTAACTGTTGTAAGAGTTTTTAATATGATTAGTTTTCGCTCTTAGATTCTCATTGTGAATCTAAATGTATAATTAATTATATTAAAGAGAATCTTACAATCACAAAATTGCTTTTTCTACTAAACGCAATCAATGTCCAATCAAATTTTGAAAAGATCATTTCAAGAAAAGAATTTCTTCACCGTTGTATATTTATAGCAATATCTAATCAAATAGAAATCGGCAAGCACTATTTAATGTTTTAAGAATTGGCGAGAGAGAGAGAGAGAGAGAGAGAGAGAGAGAGAGAGAGTTCAAATTTCGAAGAGATTACTTAAAATTCCAGAAAAGAACTTCCTCATCGTTGAATATGCCTGTTACGTCACAGTTCATTTAAAAAAGAAAAGCGATGATAAAACCGTGAGAAAGGATTAATGAAAATTTTCCTTTTAGTAGAGATAACGCCAGCTGTAATTATAGCAATGATACTAAAAATAAAAAATCGCAAACGGATCGGTCTCGTTAGAAGAATAAATCCGGAAAATTCGCTTTTCTCGATACATAGATTTACCGACGTACTGCGGATTCGTCGTAAAGAATGCAGAGTAGTCCCTAACTTGATTTCGGTCCCCGCTCGAAACCCGCTGCCCCATACTCGCTTCCCTGGCCGCATCCCTTTGCCAGATCGGGGTGGGTGTAAAACTGTATGCGCGATATTAGAAGCGTAAAAAAACGGGGGTAACGGTGGCAATGCCGAACGGCGAATGAGTCGGATATATGCGAACGAATAACGACGCCCGCGAGGCTTTCTGATGAAGGAATATCGCTCGTCCTTTACGGTCCGCAGCGCATATAAACACGCCATGGGCGGCCGCGTGCGTTATTCTTCCGCGTGTCGAACTGCGACTTTTTCCTTCGTTCTTTTGATATGCGACCATTATTGCTAAGGTTGTGCGAATATTAATCGTTTTGCAGTTTTAAGTAGACGTCTTCCACGCGTTTCTGCGAAAGGAAAGAACGATTTTGCTAAAGTATCTAATTTAACTGGAGATCTGAACACAATTTTGTTGAACACAGATCTGAAAATAATTTTGTTAGACTATCAAAATAATTACACGGAAAACTCAAACGCGATGAACAATGCTGCAAACAGTTTTGACATTCTAATAATCAGCAAGAACGATTTTGTTGCAATATATCTAAGAAATTTAAGAATATAGGTAGCTACAGATCTGAAAATAATTTTGTGGATCATCAAAAGAGATCATCAAAATAGAGAAAATTGAAAAATTCAAATATGATGAACGGCAAAATTTTTAACATTTAACAATCAGTTTGAATATCCTACATAATTATTTTGATATAATCCAATAAAGTGATATTTTCGGATCTGTATCTATCTAGCTAAATTTTTAAATGTTTCAACAAAACTGTTCTTTTCGTGCATGCAAATTATTCGCGTATGCGCCCGTTAGGCGAATAGATAAATTGGTAGTATTGAATCCCAAAGGGATCATAAAGCTCGGAAAATACAAAGTAAAAAGTTCGATCGTGGATAGAAACTCGAAATGTAATTTATTTATCAAGATTCATACAGATTTACAAATTCCATCGCAATTTATTGCATGATAATAAAAGTTAGGTAAGAATTTCATAAAAGGTTATTTGTAGAAAATAAATATCGCCGAGATGACATCTATTTTCTATACAATTCTATTAGAATTTATTGCACAAATAGAAACTTAGTTGCCAGAACAGCGGAATGATGTTCTGTATACTTTGCAGCGAAAATACAGGGCCGTTGTAAAAGCGCGAATACGTATGTATGACTTACATTTACCGTCGCAACAACTTTAGTTGCTGTTACTCGAACAGCAAATATGTAATATCAAGCTTGATGTTACCGTAACATGGTTGATGTCGGCGTATTTACAAAATACGTACGTTACGCCTACAACAACTGCAAGCTTTCTTCCTATTATACGGAATAATTTTACTAAAATATCTAAAAATTTAGGTAGATGCAGACCTGAAAAATAATTTTGTTAAAGCGAAAAATTATATCGAAATAATTATACAGAACGCTTATACGTTAATAATAGTGCAATAAATTTCAATATTCCAGCTATCAGCTATCAGCTATTTAAGCATCCTGCATAATTATTTTGATGGTGCAGACAAAATTATTTTCAGATCTGTATCTATAGTAAAATTTTCAAATATTTCAGTAAAATCTTTCTGTGGTTTCCGAGTTCTGTCGAATTTTCCGGTTAGTTTTCTAAAGAAAAACGTCGTTTCTTATCCCAAATATGCAACAGCAATTCTACTGATTTTTTCGCAAATCAAAACGTCATTTAAAAAAAAAAAGAGAAATATTTACAGGACAGTATTCGCTAAGCCATGGATCATCACGAGGGCGACGAACGGCAACGGGGGTGGCACTGGCCATAACGTCCGCATTTCTCATATCGTTGATACTTTCACCCCTGCGAGTGTAGGGCGAGAGAGCGCATTGTAAGGGCGCGCGAGGTCGAGCTGGGGGAGGACTATAAATTTTACTACGTAATATTGTTTAACTGCAAACAGTATACTAACACCCTCTGCTGTTCCGAGGACGGAAAAATTTCGACCCCCGTCAAAGAGTCGTCGGAGAGATTTACATAAGGAAATTTGACTTTTTTCGCGAATGATCGATAATCGCAATATCGGTTGAACGGCGGCAATCCCGAGGTTGAGATTTTCCGACCAATCTTCAATATCGAACACGGCTAGGGCGTACAATTTGAAAAGGGTCGACAGTACTTTCTCGTCCGGACGACGCACTCTCGGGGGCAAGTTATGAAAAAATACGAGATGAAAAAATGGACGCGCGCGCGCGCGCGCGCGAGCGCGTGGCGCACGATGGAATAAAAGCGTGAAGTATCAACGCGCTCGGATTTTCTACCTGTAACCGTTTTCCACCTGTAACAGCGCACGCACGGCGCTGACGGACGAGGCAGAAAATCTTTTTTCCCCTCCGGTAATGGCCGTCCACGATCGCACGCATCAAGCCCGCCCGTAAACGTATTCTAAACGGCTACCTTTTACTTCTCAGCGCGCGATATCCGCGCGATATCTTTGAAACGGAGTTTTCGACGACAACTCTCGTTAATCTCAAACTTTGCGAAACTAAGAGAATAAACCTGAAATTACGATATGGCGCAAAACAGTTATATATTCTACTGATAACGTTATAAAACTGGCTACAATTTACGTCATGTAAAATTATAAGAATCCCGTGCACCGTTTTCCTGAAACCGCACTCGTGAACTTCGCCGAACGAAACGCGCTTATGAAAAATATATCGCTTGTGTCTGCCTTGCTTTACATCTATTAAACAAGTTTCCTTTTTTAACAAGTATTTCTTTATTTTATTCAAAAGAAGGATTATATTTCCCTCAAAATTTTCTTTCGCAGATATTGCTCCCTTAATTCAAAAGTGACAATAACTCCAAAAAATTAAGTTATCTAGAAAAGGGGAAAACTATTTTTCAACTTGAAAATCGTTGACTAATCAAATAATACTAGCAAAAAGAATAATATTCTTAACATTAGTTAAATGTCACATTTTTTTTCGTTTCACAATCCGTAAAAAAACTATCCTTTTTGCGGTGTAACGATATTTTGACGATTTTTTAATGAATTAAAAATTCGAATTTCACGTTTTTACAGTTGTGTCATTTTTGAAGTAAGAGAGCGATATATTACACTATCCCGAGCCTGCAAGGAAAACGACACAAGTAAAAAATATACAGTAAAAAAATATATATTGTTCAGGAAAGAGGAAAGAAAATTACGTATTTTAAAATTAATTATTTAACGTCATAAACGAGAAATGGCTCGTTGAAATTCCTTGCATGTCATTTGTAAATAAAGAGAATTTAGATGAGACGAATACATAATGAAATCGGTTTTTAAAACTTGGAAAAAATTAACTAGCGCGATCTCACTATTTTATTTTATCCAAAATAAAAATTCTCTTAATATACAAGAAACTTCAACTTGATATTTCTCGCTTATGTCATCAGAATTCCAATATGACCCGGCGTCTAATCAGAAGCCTAATCAGAAACATAAGTTAACTAGAGCTAATCACAAATTGTTTGTTTCAAGTTTCAAATTTAGAAGTAATGTAGATGTTAATTTTTACGGTGTTATGTTAGACCTTTAAAACAATCCCTATCTCGATTCGTATCATTTTCCCGTTATCAATTCTTGAATTCCTATTTTCTATTTAAATTCAACTCGTATAGCTTATTCTGATTGAAAGCCCATGATCCAGTATATAAAACACAATCCGCAGATAATATAAAATTCAAAAAATTTCACTTATTTCACTTTTCTTGCGGAGATGTAATATGATTCAGTCAAAAAGAACGATTCTTGTTAACGCGGAGGATTTTTCTTTATTATATCACTCGCTATCGCTATTCGTACAAAAAGGACGCCCAAAGAAGTTTGCGCGATCGCTTCCTGGTATGGTATTTAGGAAATTTCGAATCCGATTGGGTCTTTATTTTGTCGCGGCACGGCGAGCGATCGATCGATCGCCCTGTCTTGCGCCACGCGTGTCTCTCCAGCGAGAGAGGTGGCTTAAAATTAGCCATTTCCACGGTAATCGCTACCTGCTCCGACGACGCCGGCACTCCCCCGACATTACAGAGACGGCAGCGGCCTTGCGCTCGCATTGTACAAGAACAATGAGCAAAGAGAAATATTGATGATGCTGCCGCCGCGTGGCTAAGCGTGCGCGAGCGGGTGAACGCGTGCACGAACAGCCGAGCGTATACCGAGTGTCCCGGAGCGATCTCCTTCATTATTCAAAATCTATATTTCCTTGAGAAAAAATCCGGAGACATTTCTTTCTTTTTACCTTCTTCTTCCCCCGCTAACGGTTCTTCTTCCCTTCAGAAGAAATTAAAATCCCATCACAGATGAGTGTATTGGGAATAAATAAAAAAGCTCTGCTGTTAAGCTCAATTAATTTTTATTTTATTTCGATTTCCAGACAATTACTAATTTTCCATTCGATACGTCAAATCTATCACAGCAATGACGATAGAAAAAAAGCAAACATACGGCTAACCTATGACTGTGTTTACAGGATGTGCTCAAAGTGCATACCTCATTTATTCATACTTAAATAGCAGATAATGTTTGTAGTTCGCTTTTGAAATAGACTTGTTTATATGAATCATTAATAGAAGAAATGACGATTACGATATTTTATTTCTCGTCGCAATGGTTTTAATTTTCCGCTTTCTCGGTATTTAATCCTCAAATAAAAATGCCTCTAAAATATTTATCTTCAATTAGTCGAGTAGTTAGGATTAAAATAATCCGAAAGTCTCCCGATGCAACGAAACAAATGCAGCCGTTTGCAATCCGACCTCTAGAACATGTCGTTGCTTTCAGAGCACCCAGTACGCGTGTACATGCTTGCACAACCCGAAAGGACCGTGCGTATATCGCGAGGCAGACGCGAGAACGCGAGACAGCACGAGAGAGAGAAGGAGAGCGAGGGGTATGCGGGGGATGCGAGAGGTAGCGAGCATGGGACAGCAGCTGTACGGAGAAGAGCGGGGAGATACAGAAGAGGTAAGAGAGAGAGCGGAGAGGGAAGGAGAGAGGTAGTGGAGAACGAGAGGGTTATACGCTTAATATTTCAGCATCGCGAAATTCTGCCCCTGAATCATTAATCGCCCGCTCCAGGGTGGCGATGCCTAGCCGAGTCTCTGCCCTCTCCCCCTCCCTCCCCGCGCAGACAACCCCCTCGGTCGCGTCCCCCTCGTCCATCCAGCGCTTCTGGTCGTGTCTCTCCTCTCTCGTGTTTCCTCGCCCCGCTGTCCTCTCGTTCCCTGCCGCCCCCTCGTTCCCCGTAACTTGCCTAACGCGACTAGGAAAGCCATCCGCGTGAATATTTCGAGTCCTCGCCGATGCAGGAATAGACTCGTCGACTGAACCGTAATTAACCCGCTGATTAATTATCGTGGCCATGCTTTACACAACGACTATACGCGCGAATGCGTGCTATACTCGCGATGACTCGCGACACTCGCTTTCACTCCTTTTCGAGGGGATGATCGGATGTCTTCTAAATACCGACGGTATTCTCTACTTAATCCTCCTCGCTCACGTCGCTATGACGATTAAAGCTATCGGGTGTCGAAGTGTACATGCCGTCTATTGAGCTCACCATTGGCAATTTATCAATCTTAAGATAATAAAATCAAGATAATCAAATCGAATCATAAAGAACGGTTTTGCTGAAGTGTCTAAAAGTTTAATTAGATACAGATCTGAAAATAATTTTGTCAGGCTGTTAAAATGATTATATAGAATTCTCAAAATGATCGCTAGAATGTCAACATTTTTCACAACATTGTTCATCGTGCTCGAACGTCCTTTATAATTATTTTAATAGGCTAACATTATTTTCAGATCTGTATCCAGCTAAAATTTTAGATACTCTAGCAAAACTGTTCTTTCTGTGTATAAATCAGAAAGACCTGTTAAAACACATACGCAATTAGACTGGGTTTCCTTTAAGTTCTAAAAATAAAAATCTTAATTTGGTGAAGTATCAAAATAGTATTCAAACATCGAAGTGAACTCGAGCGTCCGCAAAGAGCAATCATAGCTGAGCTAAGAGAAAGTACGTGATGTCTGCGCAACAACCAACATTTTACCTTTCGCGTTCGATGGTGTAACTAATTTAAATGGTCACATTCCCACGCTACCAAAGGAGGGAGAAAACACGCGCAATCGGAAAATCTCCTGAAGAACGTGTGTTCTCAGTCTGCCTCTCCCCTCTCTCTCTCTCTCTCTCTCACTTAGAGATGTATCCGGCATTACATGCATCCGTTTCAATCCGTAGCGGCAAATCTGACATCGAAGACGATGAGGAGAACTGAGCGAAACGATCTCCTCGAACGACAAGATCAATCCGATTTTGCGGCTGATTGTGCGCTGATGAAAACTCACACGAATGTAATCGGATCCACGTGAACAGTATCTTACATTTGTCTCCACAAAATTTATCAAAAGCACATCTTACTTAAAGACAGATAAACGGTAAGAAAATTAATAAAAATGTCATTTTAATATATAAATAAGAAGTTTACTTTTAGAAGTAGGTTTTATATCAAATATTTCTATTTTTTAGAAACTATTTTATTTTTAAAAATAATAAAAATTGAATTTGTATTATCCCATTAATAATCCCATTTGTTTATGATGGTTGAATTAACACTTGATCTGTATACATATAAAATCTATAGCTTTTCAATCTTTAGAATATGGGAATCTATTTGTTAAATCTTACAGCTTTTCCTGAAGATTTGTTGCAATTCATTATTTCGTTGTATTCTTTGTCCCAAATATTATATTGTTTCAGCGCCATTACAGATTTCTCATCTTATAAAGATGATTTAGAAATTATATATATTTCAAGATATATAACAATTTATTATTATTCTTTTCAAATTGATATTTACTAATTTTTTTTCATGATATTTACTATTTCTATAAAGATTTTTTCTCTTCTTAAACTGATATTTATAATTAGTCAAGAAAAACATTGTAGTTTTGAGACATCCTATATATAAACTGCCTTGCAGTAAAGCGGCAAAGGGTTAAAAGGATTGTTCACCATCCTAGTAGGTACAGCACGTTTCAGTTGCGACGACAGAACTTCATGCCAAGTAGCAGAAATGTTTTCTCCACTTACATGCTGTCGTCGTCGCCGTCGTCGCCGTCGTCGCCGTCGTCGTCGTCATCGTCGTCGTTGCCGTGGCCATTGTGCTCGTGCAACATTCACGCACACGGCCGCACACGCTGGCAGTAGTTATTAGTCGTAGTCGCTACGAAGCGTGCAGGTTGTGCACGAGGTTAACGTTGCAGAAGGGGACGTGGTGCGGTGCGGGAGAGAGCGGGAGAAAGGGGGGCGAGTGGATGGGTTGGTTTGTACCGAACAATGATATCGGGTATTTGATTTGTAACCGACGACAATACCGACTTGCGACCCCGCATTTCATCCCTCCCGTTCGCCCCTGTCGCCCCGCCGTGCTTCTCTCTCGTTCGGGCGTCACCCTGTATATACTATATGTACCTGTATACATGGACCTGTATACCTATAGAGCCGCAAGACAAGGTTGTCGATAGCGAGTGCCACCTTTATGGCGCCTCCAAACAGGTCCTTTTCGGTCCTGTCCTCGGACCAAGAAATTAGTTGCTCGTAATACGGTGATCGATCACGCGACGTTTCATTTCATTTTTAATACCTTCAGACTAATTTGAATGGAATCGTGTTAAAAAAAATTGTTTAGTTTCATTTCAAAGTTTAACCCTTCGATCCAACGTTTTTTTTTTTCATTTCTTTCCTAGTCTAACCGAGTATCTCTCGGTTATGATATTCAAAGGATTTTTGAGCTAGAAAATCTAAAAAAATTCTGATTTCAGAACACTTTTTCGTTCACGAATACGATTTTGAATGATACGATCAAAAATATTTTCACTTTTTTGAGACAGAATAATTCAAAACCGAAACCTCGCTTGAGTCTTTAAACTCCGTTTGGACCGCGAAGAATAATAAATTATTCATACAAAAAAAAATTAATTTTTTTCAAACTTTGATTATTTTTCCAATGTGTATATTATGTATATCTGGTCTCAGATGATGTTGATGGAACTAAATAATTTCACAGACTTAAAGGAGTTAAACTCATGGAAAATAGAAAGATCAAAAGCATCGCGACTTCAAGAAAAAGAAATTTCAACAAATTCAATCGTTTTATTCATATTTCAAAAATCGAAACGACAATAGATTTCAATAGATATTGCGAAATTAAATCTGGAGATCAAGTAGTGATGATTTAAAGATCGTGAAAATGAAATCGTCTTTTATATAAATCAACTTATAATGGAAAGATTCTAGAATTGCTTGAATTTTTGACAGCTTACGGATTTCATCAAATAACGCTATGTAATTAATTATGCTAGCAAAAATTGATATATATTCTGGGATTCACGATCGTTTACTCAAAGTACATCGGTCGGAGAAAACGTACATTCAATATTATAGGTGCCTATTCTTGACAGGACACCGCTCTTGCATACGTAATATTCCAACGAGCCTATAAGTTGTTAAAACTATCCCCAGCTATATGGCACATACATGCCACTTTCACGGTACGACGACCCTTTCGTCGCGCCGCTTTTCGTGCGCGGGTTAAAAAAGAATTAAATTGTTATCGACTCTCGGGGACTTGTTGTTCGGGACGCGGCCGCGCGCGATCGAAGCACGATGAAAACTCAGCGCGCTCTCATACCAGTTTATTCCGCAACCCCTTTCCTGCATTATTTACACGAGCGCGTGACCGATCGCGAGCAATAAAGCAGCAGGACCTTCTTGGACGGCATCAAACGCCGGCTTTGCCGAGAGCCCTGCTCGTCCTCTCATCCTTTTTAGGGAGAAAGCATCCGGGGGAGAAATTATTCACGGGCAATTCTACGGGTACAAATCTCCATAAATATCTGAAAGACGAAAAGGAACGAAAATGAAAATTCGATGCGTCGTTTTACGCCTACCTTCCGTCGTAGAACGGAAAGATCTTATACTGTTTATTGTATCTGACTGCCGTTGGGGGACGTTGTGACATTTTCCTGAATACTCTCGCTATGCCTCTTGAAGGGTTAGGAATTTAATTACGATTCTGTTTAGGAAAGTAATTCAGGTTGGATATCGAATAAATTTCGAGCTAGTAATATGTTAAGCCAGTATTTTTTCAATTCGCAGCGTAACTTTTGATGAATTATTCCGGATTTATTATAATTTTGAAAGATATCAAAAGATTATCACAGCTAATGAAAGATGCTGGTTTTGGGTAAAACGAAAATAAACAAAAATGACATTTAATCATATGTATATCTAAGAATAGGATATTCTTTTTACTTAATATTATTTGATCAGTCAATAATTTTCTGTTAAGTTAAAAAATAGTTTTTCCCTTTCTTTCTGAAAAATTTAATTTTTCGAATGTTACATTTGAAATAAGGAATCGATATAATTCAGATAAATTTCAAAATACTTCTTACTATGCGTTTTACTTTGTCTTTTTATTTATTTGTAAATTTTTTTCGTTTCTTTTTACCTTTTCTAAAATTGTCGCGATACACTTGAAGACTCTTTACAGCACAGGTTGAAAAATCCTACGTCAGGCGGAAAAGGAGTTATAGGCGTCTATAGCGAAAAGCGAAAAACGAGAAATCCGGGGAAACAATCGGGTATCAAAACTTGAATATCTTAATAATTGAAGGTGTCTATTGCGTAAAACGTCGCGGCGAGCTCCGCGAAAGTTCTATAAGTAGAATCGCGTAACGACATCGGGAGCATTAATGATGTAAGCGATCTATGTTTGCCACGTCGAAATGCGTTTAATCCGCGCGAGCGCGGATCCGCGGATTATAATTAACTCGGCAGCGATAATTCGAAGTGTATAATCACCAAACGAGTCGCGGAGCGCGCTG